CTATCACATTTGACCAGTTCTATGTATATCTACCAATTTACTTGCTCACGTAGAGCGAGTGAGAATATAGGTCGTTCGATGAGTATTTTATCCAAAAGAGTCAAAGAGCATAATCCCGCGTGGCTGCGAAAATGTACCAGTGGGTCAATAAGGACTCCTATAATTGGACATATATTCTACACTGGTCACTCAGTACGTAAGGAGAATTCATTCAAAATCATCTAGAAACTCACAAGAAGCCTCTCCAAGACGGTAAGCCTCCGTAAACTTTGCACTGGCGAGGACTTAGCGATCCAGATAAAAAACAAACCTGATTTATCCACACAGAAGAAACTTCCCCACCTCCTCCTTCTACCCTGGGTATCATTCCAAGTTCTTATAATTTGTTAATAATGCTTTTTATATTTTTGTATAACATTTTAATAACATCTTTTAACCAACCCTTTATTTATTCCTTCTACCTATTGCATAATTTATTTTGGACAATTGTCTCCATGTTTTTTTTTCATAAACATCCTAATTTTCTGGGTGTCTTTCGTATTACACAACCCTTGTCAATACTTGCCAATATTCATCCACTCCGCTTAGTCACAATTTGATTATTCAACATACTTTTGAAACACTTTGATGACGTAAAAACCCTTGTTAAATAATAAATTAATAATTCTTGTTAATATTTCTTCCTGTGTTTGATCTAATTACTGCCTGGGGGTTTGAGAATTTCATGATTTAACTCAAAAGACTTTAAAAAAAGGAATATACCTATTCGATAGTTATCATTCAATACACTTTATGTACAGTTAGTTACCCTGGAATCATTCGTTCATTTTTTTTATTACAGGGGATTCGAAGATCATATATAACTGAATTTAATGTCCATTTGTCATATATCTGGGTGATCCTAATGTAGAATTCATCGACTGGTTCTTGGAACTTGATACGACGGTGAAGATTCATCCATGGACTACTAATATTATCTGTACCGAACTGAAGTAATGAAGTTGTACTGTGGTATGTGCTACTGACAAGATTTATAAATAGTATATAGGCATAGATATAAATATGAAAAAGAGAAGACGCTCAGCGAAGAGACTCTTTCCGGCTGTACAGCTGTACAGTCGCATTTATATATAATTACTTGTGTGTGTGTGTGTGTACATGAGGCTTGTCAAGTTTAGATAATTGATCAGGTAATACAAGAATGATCTAATATAGAAACAAAGTTAGTTAGACAGCAACTAAAGTAAGATTGAGTTAGTAGGTTAGATGACGTAAAATAATTGACTGTGCGTCGTTGGCATAGGGGTTAGGATGCTCACCGGCCATGCACATGGTCCGGGGTTCGATCCCCGGCCACAGAAGCACTCCTTTACCCCACTAAGCCAGTAATAAAAGCTGGTAAAGAGAGAAGGTTGGGCATGAGGCCAGAAACCCCATCCTGTAAAAATAAACACCACTGCTAAAGAAACTTCAAGCCTTCTAGCTTGGAGCCCTATGTTCCACTTGGAACGTGAGGGAAAGAAATAAAATTGACTAAAATGTTTCAACTTAGGTCACGGTAGCAACAGAGGTAATTACAGGTAGAGACTAAGTTATTGTTCTCTACCCCACCTTTACTTAGCCTCTACCTGTAATTACCTCTGTTGCTATTCTGACCTAAGTTTAGACATTTTAGTCAATTATATTACGTCATCTAACTTACTAACTCAATCTTACTTTAGTTGCTGTCCAATTAACCTTGTTTCTATATTAGATCATTCTTGTATTACCTGATCAGTTATCTGAACTTGACAAGCCTCATGTACACACACACACACACACAAGTAATTATATATAAATGCGACTGTACAGCTGTACAGCCGGAAAGAGTCTCTTCGCTGAACGTCTTCTCTTTTTCATATGACTCAATGGGGATTTTTAATATTTAAATATGTATATTATTTGCACAATATGTTGAAATAGCAAACAGAAGAAATGAATGATGCTTACTGAAACAAAATGGAAAAAACATGAAAGGAGGACAAGGTAGCGCAAAACCAAAGGTGTATTTAAATTGTCATCCTAATATAAGAAAAAGACGATTTTTGCTTATATCTGTAAATCGAGTTGCCAATAAGTAATTTTGTCACCAGAAACTCTTTTGTACTAACAAATCACTTTCTTAATGAAACAGGTTCTCTTCAACTAGCAGATTGACAACGTTACCATCAAGTGACAATAAATTCCACAAAAAGTGTATTTAAGGCTTTCTATAAAGTTATTACAATCACCTAATACATATGAAGTTTCATATCATTTGAAAGTTGGGAATTCAATGTCAGTCGTGTGCTTCATTACTAAAAGATTCGACTATAAATTCCAAAAGAAAGATTTAAATAAAGTCTTCTGCCTCAAAGACAGCTAGTTTGGAGATTCTCTTTACTAAGATACCCTTATTTTAAGCTAAGCTAAGTTACCTTCTGTTGTAACGGAGTATTAGTGATTCTGTTGGTTGCTGTCTAACTTGACCACAATGCTCCTTCAGACACGACACTATAACCAACTATTATTATAATATTATTGTTCCCTTGGGTTCCTAGTGGAACATAGGCATTTAACACCACATCTCCACATTATTCTCCGCCCAAACTCTCTCATCTCTTCTTGATACGATCTCCTAAATGTTAACCTAGCACAAACGACCCGCTCGTCGCTTCCCATTTGGATTCCAGTCGAGCGATGGGCTGCATCGCGCGCCTTGTCATTCGACGGCCTGCCATCTCCATTTTCTCTAGGCGATCGGCTGTCGCCTGTTGGTTTGTTCCCAGCTGACCAGAGTTTCTTGTTACTAATTCTTTCTGGCTTGCCATTTGATCTGGAATATACAGCCAGTTAGAGAAGGTGGCGGCTGTTGATGAAAATCCGCAAGACGCTGTTGGAAATCCTTTTCGTGACACACAGTGCAAGTTTCTGACCCATGTAGAAGAAATAATTTTAACATACTTGCACAGAGTTCATTTTTAAACAGAAACCAATCAATTATTATATACATACAATGCTAATAATAATATTAATAGTAGTAGTCACTTAATCCCAAACAATAATAATCATACATAATGGGATCTTTTGGCGTTATGTAATCAGATGAAAGAGAGGATGAAAACATTCAGTTATCTGAATGCGGCAATCACTGTGTGACGCGAGTTCAAATCTCCAAAGAGTGAACTACTTAAAAATTCACCACACACTTCAATGTTTTTGGAATCCAGTTTCTATGTGAACTTCGAATGAGTCTACTGGATATTGCAGATATAACTGTTTGTATAATATTGAAACAATAGCTGCATTCATGATGTAATTTTAGAGTATTTTTGCACTGAATACCGAAATACTCTATATCACATATATTCCTCTTGTTCAGTTTGTCTTATTCTATTAAAACATGACATCTAATGGTGTTTTCCGCCTGTAGATTCACAAGTTTAGAATAATCCTGAGGAGAAGCAAAATCACGGAATGTAACGTAGATGAGATAACTGTCCTTGAGATTTTCAGGACAAATTGCCAGTCAGTCACTGCCTGAAAAATAAAATAAAATACCTACGATCTTCATTTATCCAACTGATTAAAAAGACCCATTAAAATTTTCAAAAGAATGGATACTGAACAAAGAATACTCTTTTTGATAACAGTTCGATATTGGACCACCTGGTGCGAACCAACCACAAAGCCAGTGTGAAAGAATTCTTGTCTATCATCTACCGGGTGCCTAATAAATTGCCAAAATCATCGAAGCATCGAATGCTGCAAACAGTAGAGGCTATTGCAATTCTCCGCCTCAAACAGCCAGTGCCCTGTGTGCAAAAGAAACAAGTCCAGACACTACTATTGCCTTGGCCGGTCTTCAGTGAACACTATAAATTCATGAATTTGTAATATTATCTTTCCTAATTTTTCTGACATTCAGCTTATTCTATTTCGATGCTGTTGAACAGTAATCTATTAGTATTATTATTGATTCAAGGCTATTTAAACAGCACTAATGCTGTTCATAACACTAATTCATTCATTCACTATAATGTATATATGACTGTATAGCCTGATGATGAAGTTATCGAAAAGAGTATTCTATGTTCAGCAACCATTCTTTTGGAAATTATCCAACTGTTGAGTCAAAAAATGTACTCCTGCACCTTTCCCGATTAGCTTTCAACCAGTTATTGTGTCTATGTCTCAAAAGAGTCGAAGGGTTATCATTAGGGGATTGGTTTGTGCTTCAGGATAAACAGTAGTGTATCACACGATTTACTGTCACTTACTACTTTATGTATTTGAAGTTCTTGGATAAAGAGAAGCTATTGCACAATAATTTTCCATTGAAATCTCTTTACCTTATATAAATACCGTTTAGTATAAAACTATTAATAATATTTCAATTGAATTTTAGATTTTCTTGTCAATTGATTGAACCGAAGTGCTCAGTCTCAGGTTGACATGTCACCATACAACAATTAAATTGTTATTGATAATATTATTATTATTATTCAAGTATTGGTTTTTAGGGATTTGGTTGACTGGTTACAGGATTTCATCATGAGCTGACATTGGTTAGAGAACCATTGGAAAACCTGGGAGTACTGGACAGCTGTTTCGTCAGCCCCCTGTGGGACTATTCAGCAGTACGCACCCACAGGGATTCGAACCCAGGGCCTTCCGGTTACAAGGCGAGCTCGTATACCATTAAGCCACTGGGACCCGATCCAATTGCCCATGGCTTAATGGTCTACGAGCTCACCTTGTAACCAGAAGGTCCTGGGTTCGAATCCCTGTGGGGCGTACTGCTGAAGAGTCCCACAGGGGGGCTGACGAAACAGCTGTCCAGTACTCCCAGGTTTTCCAATGGTTCTCTAACCAATGTCAGCTCACGATGAAATCCTGTAACCAATATTATTATTATCAATAAAATTCATATACTGTATATGGTATATTTTGTTAACACTGGCAAAATAAAAAAAACTTACCCAGAACATGCTACTCCACGTCTTGATAACCTTGAACTGCTAAACTGACCATCTTTCTGATTTTTCTGTATCATCACATCAGTATTATAATCATTTAAAGATTGTACAGTATCACTTGACTTATGAAATTTCTCATGAGTAATCACTCCAGGTATTGATGGTGATACGACATGCTGAGTAGTGATTGTTGCTTTATGCGGTGATCTATGCTTTGTTGATGTTGGTGTTGTTGTAGTAGAGTTCACTGTTTGTTTACTGTCTCTATGATCAAATAATGAACCGCTTATCAGACTAGTTGATGTTGTTGTTGTCGCCAGACTGATACCGCTTCCAACAACACTTTTTCCACCACTTCCCCCAGTACCAGTACCTGTACTCACTATTGATTCAATATTCTGTCCAACGGGGAATAACTCATTCGATGGAGAGGAATGATGAAAGGAAGACGGAGCTTTTACTTTTGTAATGTGTTTTAAAGAAGAAGACGAAGAAGGAGGATTCATTGGAGGTTTTGAATGGGAATACGATGATGAATAAGACATCAGGGAGTCTTGTTCAGATATAGCCAATTCTGCTTTACGTTCAACAATCTGTAATTTTTAAACAAGAAAAGTATTATCAAGCAGGTGATTGAGAGAATATTCTTTTTTGATAAATTCGTCATCAGGTCCTACATATATATATGGCCATAATAATTACAGAAATATTGTTATTAACAACAATAGTGCTTTTTTTAATTACACATTTCAAAAACACCAGTTAGGGGTAGATAATATGCATCACATATATAACACTAAGCTGACTGAATATTAGATAGATTATGGGAAGTAAAACAGAATTTATGAATTCATAGGTTCTACAATAGGCCAGGGTAACAATAGTGGCTGGCTGAACCTGTTTCTTTGGCAAGCGCATTCCTGTGGCCTTTGATGTTATCAGATGGTTGGAGGTAATAGGCCACAGGAAGCCATGGATATAGGTTTCGTGCTTGGTTGTACTCACCACTCAGTCGGCAAGGCGTATCTGTAATCTTGAAGGAACTCATGTCACCAAGTGCTGCTTTCAGAGACATTAGTTAGTGTCTAATCAAAGTATCTAATACATTCCGAAAGAAGGTCAATCGCTAGCGCGGATAGCTCAGTGGTAACGTCTCTAACTGCAGCACTCACTGGGTGACACGGTTTCGAATCTCATAATGGACATAAGTTCCTCCAAAATGGCCCTTGATGTTTGGAGTGTACGGTAACTAAAGGGCTAAGCAGTTGCTCAATAAGCTTAATTTTTCCTACTCAGGAACATCCAGTTCTGTGGTTACATGAAGGTATTGTTAAAACTGTCAACAGTTCCATAGCAAATCATGTCGTTGTCTACACAGGTCACAAACCTAGCTGGCATTGAAGAGTCTTCCTTCTATCGTCTACCGGGTATCCAATAAATTACCAAAGTTGTCTAGATGGCGAACACTTCAAACAGAATAGGATATTGAAATTCGGTGAAATCAACCGGATCTCTGCATGCAAAAAAGCACGTTCAACTGGACACTGTTGCTACCCTAGTCTACAGTCAAGCCTACATTTTATAAATTCTATGTAACTTCCCTTAGTTTATCCGATATATAAACAGTTTAGCGTTATAATAATGCAGATTATCTCTCTCTTACTGATGCTTTTCAAATGTAACCACCTAGGGATAGTGCTGATTCAATGTTATTTAAAACAGCATTAGTCTTGTTAATAACAATAATTCTTCCATTATCATGGTCATATTAATGTAGACACTAATGACGAATTTATTGAGAAGACTGACTGACTGGTATTATCGTCGAACTTTGCACAGATATGAACCAGTTGCAGTTACCACACTCCCTCCATGTAGCCCACAAAGCAAGAGAAGAGAGTAAAAAGAGATTCAAAATAGAGATAGTAAAACAGAGATGTGAGGCAAAAAGAACAGTAATATGGAGGAACAATAGAATTTTATTGGATATTACAAATCACAAAGAGTGGTTGTATCTGCGCCATTGAGAACGATTTTCAGTCATATCATCATTTGTCTCTAGCCATCGGTTTTTACTTTCCCGAGGACTCCAGCCAACCGAAGAGTCGACACCTCACTACGTGACTGGCTGGCTGGCTGGCTTAAACTGACAGTTGTGGATGGATTTCCTTGGCTGGTGAAGCCATGTTTTGGCTTGACAACCACTGGCTCTTTTCCAACCTGATCCATCCAATGTCAGCTAGCTTTTGCTTGTCGAGGAAGGCGACGGCTAGCAATGCATGCGTAACACATGTCCCTAACCATCTCAATTGATTCACCTTCACAAAGTCATCGATTGATTTCCCCTCCTTGCCTATCAGTTGAGCGATACCTAACCTCAATATGGCTCACCTTGTTATACCGCTTAACACGGGAGATTAAACGCCAGCACCTATGATAAATGACAGCTGGCTAGCCGGCCTTTTCGTATATTCCAATTTCAAATGGCCATGTTCCACTCATAGTCATAAAGGAGGATATAGAGAACTACTAACCAGTAAGCACGTCTACTAAGCCAGAGACGGTGTAAGTTGGCATACGCCAAAAGAGCCTTTTGTATCGATGCTGCGATTTCGTCAGCGATTAATCCACTGGCTGATGTAACTTTTCAAATAAGTGAAATGGTCAACACGCTCCATCAGAAGAATATAGTTTTTGTTCAATGAAGTAATCTTTTCAATTTTTTTTTGTAAATAGCATGCTCAATCAATTAACTTAAACACAAGAAAAACAAACGCATCTAGTTACTACTATCATCAGAACTTAAGTTTTATATATAGTCAAACAAAAACACAAAAACAATATCGTCCATCACGGAAAGAAAAAATTGAAAACAAAATCATAATACTCACAAGGTATCAAGGTATTTTTTTCATTGCTTGGGGTTAAAACTCTGAATTATAGGGGGGTGGGGTGGGGAGATAGTTTTGATGAAAGACTTAATATTGTTCATTCACAATGAGACACATGTAAGTGAAATCATAATATAATATCCCACTGTTTAGATAAAACGGATAATCCAGTATACACACAGATTATGCATATATATATATATATATATATATATATATATATATATATATATATATATCAGATAAGCGTGAATTATCCAATAAGAACTGTCCATAAATATGACATCCAAAAGTATAAGGTATTAAAGTACCTAAAGCGAATGATACGTTGCTAAGCTACTTACTACTTAGGAATCCGGAAGGAGTAGAAGTTTAAAAAACCAAACAATAGCACACTTTACTACCACTACTCCACTTCATTACCAGATAGTGTTTATCTCACTTTGCTTTATATTTAACACTAAATATAATAAGCGTCTCAAAAAGTACTTACTTTACATTTTATAAAGATGTAGGTCGTTTTTGAAAAAGAAAAAAACAACATTTATATTCATAGTTATTTTATTAGTTCATTGTTAACACATTTCCCGGAATCATTTAAGAATTTACGACTTTAGAATCAAATGGTTATCAGTGAAAGTTATGCATTATGTGATTACAAGAGAGATGTGCACTGAGGAGACCGTTGAATGACATTGTGTGCACTACAGAACAGTATTACTGGAGTGGAAAAACGACTTATACTATACTATACTATACGGATCAGAGACTTGATGCCATGACGCGCCACTAAAGGCACTTTGAACAAACTACAGACCGTCATCAACAGCTGTCTTCGCTTAATACCACTCAAGATCAGATGGCTAGTCAGGAATGATCAGCAACAGGGATCTCTGGGAGCGAACCAACACAGCAGGAGCCGATTGGGTAACAAATGTGTGGGAAAAAATGGAGGTGGATTGGCCATACTCTGAAAAAACAAACCATCAAGGGAGTGACATCACAAGCCAGGCCGTCGCACGAGTGGAACTTTTTTTTTGATTACAGCTTGATTCCACACTGTATTTTTGGTACAGGTATGGAATTTTCAGCGTGGATATCGGTAGCCCAAATTTTGCAGGCCGACCATAGATATCAGGTGTGCGTCGGCAGGGGATCGAACCTCGGACCATGTGCATGGCCGGCGAGAGTCCTAACCACTGTGCCACCGACGGTGAGTTGGTCGTCAGCGTGAGAGTGACGTGGCGAAGATTGTGTGAAGAGGAGATGAGAACTTATGGGCAATTGTTGAGCCAGCTCAAAAGGATCTCAGAAAACAAGATGAATTGGAGATGTTCTGTTGAAGCCCCGTGTTACACTAGGAACCCAAGGAAAGGAAAATAGATCACCCTAAAAGCATAGTAAACAATAAGTGTACCATATAACTGTGAACTGTATTCATGTTGAAAATCCGAAACTACTATTTCTGTAATAATGAGCTGCGATACACGAATTCAATTCTGTCAAGAACATGGTTACTTGAAGATGTCTTCCAACTAGTAAGTAGTCTTATCAACGTTGAAGTGAACTTGATACCATTTGATTTAACCACGTGAGTCTGTTAAGCAGTCTAGATGACTAATGTTCAAGTGAAGGGTTCAATTTCAAGTGATAGCTCTACATCTCTTGTTAAATTAATGTATTTCAAGTCAACTGATCAGCTGTTGTTCTCGTACACGAGGTATGCATAACGATATCTCAATGTTACCATATACTACATAGTGATGGTATTCACAGCGCATATCTCTAGTTCTCTTATTAAGAACTGTCATTTAGAAATGAGTAACAATAAGACAGTGTAAGCTACATTAAAATTTATTACTAATCTAGATAGACAGAACAAATTATTCAGATCGATAATGCATTTTCAAGAGTTAGCTTGTAGAGATTTGATTTGTCTTGAGTCTGATGACGATCTGATACTAGTTAGAGAACCATTGGAAAACCACCAGGGAGTACTGAACTACTGTTTCACCCTCGTCTACGGTTCTTCTGCAGTACACACTCACTAGAGTTCGAATTCAGGACCTTCCGGGTACAAGCCAAATTCATAGACCATTCAGCCACTGGGACACGATTAAATCGCCAAATGAATTCCAACTTCTACCAATTCATGATTTTAGAGAGACAACCAGACAATGACATAGGTGATTATTGGTCCTCATCCCTAATGTGGTAGACCCCACTGATCATGATTTCTTAATTTAACTCGGGGCAGCTTCGTTCTGTAGCCAGTCTACGAGCTTGGATTGCAACCAGAAGGCCCTACATTGGAGCCCTGGTGAGCGCGTACTATCGGAGTGTGACAAACCAGGACAAAACAGAGGTCCGGTACTTTCTGATTATTTTTAATGAACCACTAACCGATTTCAGCACGTGATCAAGCTTGAAATAATGCATTGAAATACTGAAGTAAAGAAAGTGTTTTTCGATGACTAATTCCTTTTTCAGGATTAAGAATTTATAAATGCTCGACAATTCCTTTAGTGTGATATAAAAAAAGCCTGGAACTATTTCACTACCTAAAACCAAATGAGGATTACAAAAGGAAAGAAATGTTACTGTTTTTCTTTTTTTTCTTGAAAAATTGTTAAAACTAAACAAAATCGTGTCATGTGTAATGAAAACAAAACGTTTACTATATTTTTAAGTATTCACTACAAACATACAATTCTATTATATGAAAATGATGATACTTTAAAATTCAACTTTATGTTTGCAGCTATAAATCAACCCGTGACTGTAAGGAGGTACAAAATTAAATAAGTAAAAGAAGAAAAACTTATAATAGTTATTTATCTTTATCATTCCCTTGGTGACCGATTGGAACTGTAGGGCTTCAACATAACATCTCCATTCTACCCTGTTCTCTGCTAGTTTCATGATTGTCCATAAACTCGCATCTCCCCCATACTGACACGATCTCATCTATACCATCATCGGACTCACATTAAACTCGACGTTTACCATTCAGGGTCCACCCGAACGATGACCTGGAGCGTGATTTGACTCAACAGTCTTCACAGAGTGTGTCCCATCCGTCTCCATTTCCTTTGGAATACTTTCTGAGTGTTTGATTCGTTCTTAGAGTTCCCTGCTGCTAATCCTTTCTGGCTGGCCGGCCTGCCATCTGGTCTTCAGTATGGAGCCGTCGAAGGTGGTGCTTGTTGATAAAAGTATGCAGCAATCTGTTGGGAATCATTTCTGTGTGCTGTTCTCCTAGTTTCTAACTCTGGTGTTGAAAATCCAAATTTTCTCCTTTATGCTGTGTGTAGAATATTTTCAAACTGAAATGACAGTGACAAAGGTCCTCCTTGCGTTTCCGTTTCTAGTTTTTAGGATCGTAATCTGTACTGCCGCCTGTAGTTGAAACGAGGCTGTCTGGTCAGATAAGTGAGGGAAGTGACCTCGTTAGAATTTCTTCTGCTAATACTCATTAATGCTTGTTTTTGTTGGTCATCTTGCCTAGTTTACAATTTCGCCAGTTTCCAGCCAGTCCTAAGTCCGCCAAAAGAAGGAAGATTTGGTGACAATCCAATGGCTACAGAAACATTAAAGCCCAACCAAAATAACTCACGACAGTATAAACAATTGATTGATATGAGCAGTTGGACAACACAGACATCACATGCCTTATTCTTACTTTCTTGTTTCCCATTGACGATATCAAGCAGATAAAATGCTGTGGTTTGAATAAATTCAGTTTCCAAAAGGAATACTATCATGGAATGTCATCTCAGACCGTTTAATTTGTAAATTTCTAAAGCGACTGGCTCTATTCAGGCAGTTAACCTGAGGTTCTAGTGGGAAGCTGTGACCAGTATGGTACAGCAGGTTGAAAATGAGTCAATAACTCATCGAAGAAAATATTGCGAAGTGGTTGCGCTATGACATGAATTGTCAGAAGTTAGAATTCGTGATCTGGCCATTCGGTCGGGTTTCAGCGTCTCGATGGTTTACGAGCTTGCCTTGTAATCAGATGGTCCTGGGTTCGAACCCCACTGTGTGCGGGTGCGTACTTCTGAAGAGTCCCAAACTAGGCTGACGGAACAGCTGGCTGTCCAGTACTCATTTGTGGTTTTCCAGTGACTCTCTAACTGATGTCAGCTCATGATGAAATCCTCCATGCAATGAAATAAAATCCCTACAAAACCAATACTTGAAAATTATGAACTTAACTGCATACACTACCAGTTCGCCTAACCGCCTAGCTAGAATGTGGGTGCTTTGAACTGATTCACCTCTCTAACTGGATTCGAATCGGCAACAACGCTGATAAGGCAAAATACGAACGACCGAAACGTCAGTCTGGCGTTTAGATCACTTCAATCGATATAAACCCCTTACTCAACTGCTCATACCCCAATCATCAGTTTATACCTTCATGGTATCCCACCGGATCACATAATGTGATATTTTTCGTGTTAATACAACTTTTTATTCGCTAAATTCTTAAGACGATTTCAGTCTTCTTCTTTTTGTGCTGGTATAAAAAGAACAACTGATAAACAAGAATCATCTTACCAATTTTAATCGATTACCGGCCAATTGTAGAGCTTTAACTGCTTCACTATGCGTAGCACCAATCAAACTGATCCCATTGACGGAGAGAATTCTATCACCAAGCCTAAAAATGGAATAATACACAATATGCAATACACATTCATTACTGTTTGTTTGTAACATTTTAAAAGAAAGCATGAGAACTAGAGAAATGAAGATTTTTACTGGTAATTTATGCGATATATATAAAATATACGGCTTGCAAAATTTATTTTTAAATTATCTACTCGAACCCATACACAGCCGTATAAGAGCGTACTACGAGTTGTCAATTGAAGTGATGACAACCTGTGGTTATCCGTCATGGATACCCAATATCTTCATTTCTATTCAATTGACTTGTTACAAGGGGCTAGTCTTGGTGGCTTAAAATATGTGGATGATATAGTTCACCTAAGTAAGAACGCTGAATAAAATGCCCAGTCTTCCGAGCACACCTTTATCAGCAGTCTTCGAATGTTTGACATGCTGTTTTCTCCTGTCAAATGCAAGATGGTGCTACAGGACTGAATGACATCAATTCATTCCTAGCTTAAAGATAGGGAGTGAAGTGGTGGCTGAACGTGTTGACCACTTCACTTATTTTGTCATAAGTTGCATCAGCCTCAACGGGCTAATCACTTACAAAATTTCATCACGGATTCAGAAGGTATGTGTGGGGTTTTCCGGCTTACACCATCTCCTGAGTAGACTTGATATCCGGACAGATATCTTTCTAGGATATGTGTACTACGAAAAAGTCGGCTCCGTCCTCCTTTGTGTCTGTGAGGGAGACATGACCATTGAAAGTAGAAGATATGAGGTTGTGTAGCTACACTGATTGAGACGGCTAGAACGCGTGTTTCTGATAACAAACCATCACCTTCCTCGACAGTCAATATTAGCTGACATAGGACCAGGTTGGAAAAGAGCTAGTGGTGGCCAAACCAAAAAAATGGTACCATGAAGTCTTTGACAGTTGGTTTAAGCCAGACACATAGGGAGGGGTAGAATTCTTATCTGAGGTCTTCCGGATAGCAAGAGACAATGGCTGGAGATAATTAGTGATACAGCTCAAAATCGTTATCAATGGCGTAGAAGCTTTCACTTTTTGTGATCTATCTCATGGTAAATTGACTGCGGCAACTTGAACTGGTGCATTTCAATAAGTCAGTCAGTTAAGCAATCATTTACCCATTGTATTGACTTAATCTACCGATTTTCAGAAAAATGAATAACTGACTGACACTGGCCTTCCTTTTCTGGTCATTTACGTCTTAATAACTATTGTTATGAAGCATGAAACTATTAAACATGATGAAAAATACTTTAACACGACATTATGAATCATCACGATGAAGTAAACAAAAGACGAAATTAAAGCAAACTAGTATTTTGTTCTCTGTCTCCCCCCACAAATATTATGAGTGGTATATCATCAACAGGGGCGTTTATTGTTTACTAGAGAGGAAGACCAATTTTGCATCACACATAGTGATATGTATGTGTATTATCATTACCATTTATATTATTTATTATTCTCTTGGGTTCTGAGTAGAAGGTAGGGCTACAATAACACATTTCCATTTTGTTCTGTTTTCTACTGTCCTCTTCAGTTAGGTCTACAATTGCCCATAATCTCTCATCTTCTCCACCAATCCACACGATCTCCTCCATTTCACCCTCGCGCACCGACGACCCACTTGTTGCCTCCTATTTGGATCCCACTCGAGTGATGGCCCGCATGGCGCGCGATATCATTCGATAGCCCCCTCAAAGTATGCTCGATTCATCTCCATTTTCTCCTACATATTTGTTGAGCAAGCGGCTCCACCAACTGCTTTGTTCCCAGCCAGAGTTTCTTGGTGCTAATTCTTTCTAGCTGACATTTGATCTTCATTATGGAGTGAGGGAAGGCAGCTGCTGATAAAAGTCTCCAGTTGCCTGTTGGAAATCCTCTTTTTGACATGTAGTGCAGGTCTCTGACCCGTATATAAGAACACTCACTGACTTACTTCTCATCTGTATTAAAAATCTGAATCTTATTTTTTACGAAAACTGAGTGCAGAAGACTTCCAATCGGTTTTTATTTTTTTTATATTTTTGATTATAGCTTGATTCCCCACCGTATTTTTGAAACAACTATGGAATTTTCAGCATGTGATGTCGGTAGGCCAAATTTAGCAGGCCGAACCAATTAATATCAGGTGTGCGTCGGCAGGGGATCGAAACTCCGACAATTTTTTTTATGGTCGGCGAGAGTCCTAACCACTGGACCATCGACGCACAGGTTGATAAAGGCGTATCTTGCCTTTCCAATCCTGGCTGGCCACCTTTAACATCTTCATCCGTCCCGACTGTATGCGGTTGAAAGAATGCTTCCTAACCAGATAAGTGAAGAAGGTAATCTCTGTCATATGTCGCCCGTTGATAGTGATTTGTGCTAGTTGTTGTTGTTGATTGATTATCGTCATAACTTCCGTCTTCTCTCTCTCTCCCTATATATATATATATATATATATATATAAGCAAGCAAGCAAAGTAATCAAAATAGAATGAGACAAATAAAAGATAAAGGAAGGCACAAGAAATAAATGTGAATCGAAAAGCAGATATATATATATATATATATATATATATAGTATATCACATGCTTTTTACTATCATCTGCTTTCTTAAATATTTTATTTTCCTTCAACTGTACACTATCACATGATATATATGTATACATATTTAGGAAGAAGTTCCTCTCCAAATACAAAAATCATAAATAACAATGCACAGAGATTAGTGGATGATGAGAATAACATGTCACAATGAATAGAGGCAGTTGCAAAATCAAAAAAGAAAAAAAAACTCATCGCAAAGTTCACATTTATGAAAGCGAAAGCCAATGTTTAACTTGACCAAAAACTGAACAATGTATACAGATTAATTCTAGGACTATTATTATCAAGTATTGATATTTTGTGAGGATTTTTGTTTGTTTGCATGGAGGATTTCATCATGAGCTGACATCAGTTAGAGAACCATTGGAAAACCTGTAAGGAGTACTGGCCAGCCAGCTGTTTCGTCAGTCTAGTTCGGGACTCTTCATGAGTACGCACCCGCACACAGTGGGGTTCGAACTCAGGACCATCTGGTTACAAGGCAAGCTCGTCGACCACTCACCAGTCACTGGGACTCGACCAAATAGTCAGACCATGAATTCTAACTTCTGATAATTCATGACAAAGTGCCAACCACATCGCAATGTCTTCTTCGATGGGTTACTGCCTCATCTTCAATCTGGTGTACCCTATTGCTCACGACTTTCAGCTAGAACCTCAGGTTAACTGCCTGAATAGGGCCAGTCGCTAGTGAACATCAGGTGAATTTTCAAGTATTTGTTTTGTGGGGATTTTTGTTTGATTGCATGGAGGATTTCATCATGAACCCACACCAGTTAGAGACTATTAGTCAACAAGGGAAAAAGCAATAATCACAACCATTATATACTTATTCATTTTTATGAATTTGAATAAAGTATACAAAACGATGATTTGTGCAGAATGAGACGATACTGTAGTTCATTTTTCATCGGTGTTTCTAGTGAGCAGTCATGACCACCATTAGGGTGTATCATTTCAATCGTGAGGAAAAATAATCCCTGACAACATTGGTTGGTTACCGTCCTAAAATCACTGGATCGGATCCCAGTGGTTGAATGAATTATCAGCTCCCTCCTCGCAACCGAAAGGTGCTGCATTCGAACCCTGATGGTTCAGCGATGCTGAAGAGTCTAAAACTTAGACAACAATTTTGCCACAAATTATGCTCCCAAATTTTCTAATCATTTTCTAACTGATGTCAGATAATGATCCAACTTAAAGCATATTCCTTTTGATCCACCTGAGATGATATGACTTTTGCTGATCAAAATACGGTATTTATGCACATCTTCCGCAGACAATTTCAGATAATTAATATTAAAAGTATTTTGAGCGAAAAACAACCAGAGAAAGAGCGATAGAAAGAAGCATGTCTAATGACTTCACTCCTCGCCTACTTCTGATCCCATCACTAACTAATAATACTTTTCCCTCTCACTCAAACGAACATAAATCACTTGATCTATTACAAATGCAGACAACCTAATCCTTTTGTCGCTAGTGTTGTTGGTGGTGGTGGCTTTGTATTGTGTTACTTCTCCCCTGTCTCTTCACAAAATGTACATATTAGATTATGTATGTGATGAGAAATCTCGAGACACACAAATGAAGCCAAAAATATCTCATGTCAAATTCCCTAAGTATATTTTTTTCATAAGGAAGAAAAGCATCTTTTTCTCTCCCTCCCTCTCTCTCTTCCTCTATTAGTTACCGATTTTCTCTTTCCACATTACCAGCAGATGACTTTCTCTTCCATTAAAATAACACAAACAGTGATACTAATCGGCATTATTATTATTATTATTATTATTATTATTATTATTATTATTATTGCCATTATGACATCATTAGTCACAGTCAGGATAAAATAAATAATTATTCTGATTATCTTGAATAAAGCAAAACTGGACGACTTGTTCAGAATAAGATGGTGACATTGTTTATCGTGTTGGCTTCTCGTCAGCTGCTTATAGCGTAAAGAAATTATTAAATCCATTTAACAGAGGACTATTAAGCTACTTGCAATGTGACACGATATCATCTGTTAACATTAGACATCAAAAGTAATAAACACACCTCAGGAATTACACCTATATAACATACAAAGAATGGTCTAATTTAAACAAAACCATAAAGAAACAAAGGCTTGGATACAACGGAAAAGGGGTTGAGAAGTAAAGACAAGAAGTAGATAAGATGGCGGATGAGTAACTAATAAGTTGAGTACCAATCAGCTAACTCCAACCACAATCAAAAGAGCAGACAACAAGCAAAAATTACATTACAAATTTGCAAGTATGTTACTTCACACACATACTTAATTTTTTTTAGACTGCACGCAGTTGATGAGGAGCTGACGAAATAAATGGTAGTGCTATATTGAAGTAATTTGGTGGATAGAGAGTTGCAGTAGAATCTACTAGGATGTGCATTT